TTTGGTTACAGTGAGGCCAAATTCAAGGGGACCCTTTCTTTGGGTGCCAGGTACCTCGATAGCCATATCGATATATATTTATGCTCACAAGGAAGAAAATGAACGAGTGGATAGGACTGAACACCTCCTGGGAGTAAGCAAACCTGGATCTTGGTTTGGGCCACCAATCAACTCAAACCTAAATTTCTCAATTAACTTGGAAACGTCTGTCTCTTTATGATGAATGAGTTAGATGGTGTGCTTTTTAAGTACTCTTTCAGCTCTAAAATTCTAAATCTAGATAGAACCTTGCTTTAAAAAAATATAAAAATGAAAGTTCTTCTTTACCATCTTTACACAATGGAACAAGTCCAGTGTTGGGCTCTGTACTCAAAATGCCAAAGGAAAATGTAGAGAAAATATTAATAAACAAACAAGGAGAAAGAAGAGCAACAAGGAGGGTTACATACATCCTGGGTTGACCAGACCATTCCTGGTTTATGCCTGTTTTGCCAGTGAATCAACCACTTAACACCTATTTTCCCTAATATAAGTATCTCAGCTTGGATGATACATTATATGGCTAATCCTATAAGGATTTGGTGTTATTTATCTTGGGATGGAATCCTACACCATCTCCAATCACCTACAGGCAAAAAAGCCAAACTCTTCAGTGTATTCTGAAGGCTTTGATCTCTCCAGTCCAAACACAGTTGGACACACCTACCACCTGCTGATCGCACCTGACTACTTTTAGTTCCTCAAAGGTGAGGACCTTTGCTCCTGCTACTGCTGAGCTTCTCCTGCACCCCACCCGCAGGATGGCAAGCTCCTCCATCTTCATCAAGACTAAGCTCGGTATCGCCTCCTGTGGGGGTGTCCTCCCTTCCCTCCACCTGGGATTCCTCTGTCCATACCTCCTACTAGCACGGGGACCCAGCTGTTCCGCAGCTCTTTCCTAGTCTCCTCTCTGCCACCACTCTCTGTAAAGAATGGAGTTTATCTCATTCATCTTTTCATCCCTTAGCACACAATTAGCACTCAACAACATGTTGAATGAATTAAATAGAGAAGTACACAAAGATCTGCTAGCATGATATAGGCCAAGTTATCTTTCACCAGAGTGAACAAGAAAACAGTGGACTTCAACTCCTCTGGCCCCACCACTATTATCGCCACCAGTAACAGCCTCTTGTACGATATACCCTGATGGAAGGTCATGGTCTACACCCATCCTGCAGCTGAGTTCCAGTCCTGCTGCTTACAAAAGTGATCTTGGGCGGGTTATATACCCTATCTTAACTCCGTTCCTTCAGTATGACATGGGAGAAAGACAACTGTCCTTGGTGTCATGTTATAACAGTGCATGAAGATTAGTGCCCAGTGCTGACCCTGGGACAGAGAACTCAGGTAATAAGGGGTCATTTAGCTTCAGTGGTGATCATTTCCAGCCAGAACAGGTCAAACTAGATAGAAAAAGAGTGACTCCTTCCACAGAGTGGAAGCCCCACCTGGATTCATATTGCTTGATGTCCCTCACTCTGTCCCAGGCCTCAGATGCAAAAACCTGCACACTGTCACCATTATTTTCTCCCTCCAAATCCTGGGTTTCCTCTTTTCTAATTATCCCCAACAGACGTGTCATCACAAGGAACAGAACAGGAAAGGCAAGGACTACAAGTCAAGACAGACTGTGGTCAAATAAGGAAGAAATTGACTGCCACTCTGATTCAACTGCGCAAAAAACCTCACAAGAAATTCTTGGTAAAATGTCAAGGAGGGAGAATCGAAGCCTAGGGAAGGATTACATGACCTCATGCTGGGACAATTAACCCTTAAGTTAACTACACCTGTAACAAAACACTCACTCAATCATGCACAGTTGGTTATGGTGCCAAGAGGGGAAAAGGGCTGATAAAACGTGAGTCATGAGCGTCATCACTGGAACAAGAGGAGGAGAGGAATGTGCCCTTAAAGCTTTCTTCTACCCAGCTTTCTTCTACTCGGGAAACAAAGCACAGGCAGTATCAACAGAAACAAATGGGGCCACAATGTTTCAATTTAATAGCAGGGCACTGTTCAAACCTCATAACAAAACACAACATGTGCTGATGATGGCTTTTATTGTAGAGATACGGGATGGTGTGGACGCGAAAAACAAAAAAGCCTGGGCTCTGGAACAGAGAGTGCCTGAGTGAACTCCAGCCCCTGTACCTACCTCGCTGTGTGACCTTGCCCAAGTGACCTAACTTCTCCATGCCTAAGTTTTCACCTCTGAAAGGTGAAGATGCCAAATAGATAATGGCGCCTAGACTCCACAGGGCTGCTATTTACAAATACTAATTTCTATGGCAGAATAGTACCGGGGAAATGAATGCTACATAAGCATTTGACAAATAAAAATATGAAGACCCAGTAGTTACGCAAAAGCAGCTTAGACACAATCTTGTGCTTTAAAACTGACACTGGTATTGCCATCATGAATCTCAAAGGTGCCTTTATTTGATGCTGACTCCTAGGAATTCGACTTAGTGACCAACCATTCCTTCTCCTGATCACTGGGACTGAACCCCGAGGTCACTTTGATGTGGTGAAACTGGAGGTTCTCTACACAATTCCTCAAACTATAATCATCCCCCAAATAAACAGAAGTCAGATACACATCTCACTCATTGAGCATTCGTGTGGCCAGTCACTGTCCAAGCTGTTGCATTTTGATTGGCAGGTAATGTGGAGAAAATGGACCACACACCATTACAATCCCTGCCTGTCATCACAAAGCTGACAGTCTGGCAGGGAAGATGGACATTAAAACTCAAGCGTGCACCAAAAAGAAACCGTTGTCAATAAACTAATTTACAGCAAGAAGAGCTTCAAGGAGACTAGAACTCTTGTTCCTACCAGACCAGCGCTTCTCTTCCATGCAATCATGTCTGTAGAATTCAAGCAGCGGAGTTCCTTGTAGGATGGTATTAGGCATCACCTTGACACGTATCTGTTTAGGATTATGAATTCCCTGTTCTAAGCTTGCTAACCACCCACCCCTCGTCATTCCCCCATTCTTGCTACTTTTCTCAAAAAGGTTCCAGTCCATCTATTTAATTTCCTCCTTCCTATGTTATAGTCAGACAGCTCTTCTCACCAAATGTCTTCACCTATCACCCTGACTGCAGTTTTCCACGTTCTAAAACTTCTTCCAGTACATCCCTATAGAAATAATGCTATTTTTTCCAGAGGTAGTTACCTGTATTGAATCTTTGTCAGAGGGCAACATTATTTCTGCTATTTTCACATTTGGGGTTGGTGTGCTGGGGTGGGAGGGGCATTTAGGGCAGATATACACTGAAACGGTTGTCTGGTAAACCCTCAAATAATTCTCATTTAACCTGCAAAGCAACCCAATGAGACACAACATTAATTTATATGAGTCTTTGAGCATATTGCATACCAGAATTTGTTAGGCATTATACAAAGGTCAAAATTATAACAAGAACTCGGCAGCTTCCCACTCCAAGTGCAGTGATCCTTTTCTGCTGGCAGCTCTGTGAACTGTCAGCAGCAGCACCTGAGGGGCCCCCATAAGATGGGTTTCATCACGTCATGGAAAACATGTCCTTGTGGCACAGGCATGCTCCAGGTTTTTGGTGACAATTCACATATAGGAAATGCATTTTCGTACTTCTAAGTTTTGTTGGATGAAATAAGATAATCTTTGTAGGATCCCCAGGGGGAATATCATCTAAGTGTCCAGTTCGTTACAGACAGGGCTTTAGTTGTATCAGCAACACCAAGGTCTTGTCCTTGTCCTTAAGGTCTACGTGAGAGTCTCAGTCAGGATACCCAGACATGATCTCCGCAACGCATTTACCTTCACAAAATAAACGGGACGGATGCTGCAACCGGAATGCTAGTGTACTCAGTGAGGATTAGGGCTCTATCTCTTTCCAGGGGCTAAATTAATGTAACTCCTATAGTTTCAGAGAAGCCACCCAACCCCAGGTCCCACTCATTCAATGCTGCTTTACAAATTGGAGCAAGGAGCATCAGAGGAACTTTCCACTGAATTTCCATGGGGAAAACTGAAAGGCTAAAAGATATTTTTAAAAACACGATCAAACGTCATTCTGAATATAGTCTATGGAGAAAAGTAATTCAATAGAGTGATTATTTAAACAAATTCACACTGGGTGAACTTTTAAAAGAGGCACTCTGAGCTCTAAAAGAAACATCCTGTGTGTGTCGTTTTGTGGGTAAATCTCTAGGGTCAGAAGAGGACCTGGAACTTAGATGTTCTTTAATTTTCTGAGTACGTAAATAAAGAAATAAATATATTCCTCCGTGAGTTTTTCATCCAGGAAAAACAATAGTTATTTAAAGGCAAAAGTTATTTGGGTGTACATAAAAGAATAAAAACTTGCTCCTCACCTTAAAATATAAATTAACTTCTACTACTACAAATAAAAAATTAATGGAAAAAAAAAAAGTTTTCATAAAGATGGAGAATGCTATTAATTCAAATCCATTTTGCGCAGTAAATCTATACAAAACCTCAATATACTTACCTACATGTGTGCAGTGACAATTACAGAATGTGAAAAATAACTTATTTAGAAATAGACTCATAAAAATAACTATACATGAAAGCATATTCATATTCTATAAAAAACACTTTGTATCTGAAAATCTGTAATAGAGGCAAGGCAAAAGTTCCACCTTTGGGCTATAAGGAAACCTGTCAAAAGCTGGAATGTTCAAAACTTGATAGCCAAATTCATCAATGACATCTTTCCCATCATCATTTATACTAAACCACTGAGACATGTATTTCCCTAAAGCTAACTCTGTAATTGTAGAAAGATTGGTATGCTGACTGCGCCAGACAGATTCAATAAAAAGTACTTCATCCCCTTGTAATTCCTGCATATATACTGGTGAATATTCATATCATTGCCTACCACTGATGTCGTTTATATTAAGACATTGAGAATCTGTAGAGTGAGTGACAGCCAAGCTAAACTTACCAAGCACAATGACCACAGTCTTCAGAAGACTCATCATGGTATCGCGGTTCCGCCGGGGCCCAGAACTATGCCGAGACATTCTCATAGTCCTCTGGCGAACATAGCCAAAAATATGAGCATAGAGAACCACCATTACGACAAAGGTCACCAAGTTGAAAATTGCCCAGAAGACTAAGTAAGAGTCACTGTAGAGGGGTGCCATGTTGGAACAATTTTCAATATCACAGATGCAGTTCCAGCCCACACTGGGTATAGCACCCATAACAATGGCCATGGTCCAGATGACGACAATCACCACCACCACCCTCCGGTTGCTCATCCGTGTGTGGAGCTGCATGCGAAAAACCGTAATGTGCCTCTCGATTGCAATGGCCAGTAAATTGGCCACAGATGCCGTCAGGCTGGTGTCAATGAGGCCCTGGCGGAGGAGCCACGTGCTAACAGTCAGTCTCCGAGTATTAGGTCCCGTGTTGAACATTAGGTAGAAGTAGGCCAACCCAGCAAAGAAGTCTGCAGCGGCCAGATTAGCCATTAAGTAATAAATAGGAAAATGGAAGCGGCGGTTGACATAGATTGCCACCATGACCAGGAGGTTGGCCAACATGATGAAGATACAGACGGTGATTCCAAGTCCCATCACCAGCTTGCTGACTGTGTTCCATTCTGTGGCAAGATACTTGCCACTCCGGTTGTAAAAGAAGGCGATGGATTCATTGTAGAAGCACTGTGGTTCATTCATGGCTGTGAACTAAGGGAGAAAGGAAGAAAGATGAAATCAAAAGAAAAAAAGAAACCACAGACCCAAATTTAAAGACATGTAGATAACACAACACTTCTATGGTAAATGTCACACACACACACACACACACACACACACACACAAGGCAAAGAATTTGAAAATCTGATCCTGCAGAATGTGCTATGATTATACCGAAACCGCAAGGTTTCTCACTGTATTACTATCCTCAAGTGTCTCAAGATTAAAGACAGTTGGAGTTACATAAATGACAAGGTCTATGCTTGGTGGTTGCACATCATTGAAGTCTACTAGAAAAGCCACATGGCCCAGAAACCTTGCTTAAAATACATGAGAAAGATGAGAATTCTGCAGAGCACTACAATTGGAATATTTACCATAGTGAAATCTACTTTGACCTGTTATTTAGGGAATCTGTAAACATAGTTGGTTTATAGATAGGCTAGTATTGCCCTATTATTCAGCATTTCTGTTCTCACATAGAATGTTCTTTCTGCCTGTGACAGACATTTTTAATGCAAGCCCCCACAAGGATCCTCGGTCCCAACATTTCAAAGAGGTCACTATGGATCAAAGTTTCTTTGCCCAAAGCCAGCTTTTGCTGTTCAGCATTCCTGTGGGCAGCATGTCCTACCCCCATGGCTCCTTATCCCCAGAGCAGCTTCACCAACCAATCCATGATGTTCGAGAACTTTTTTATTTTGGGGAGGACATAAGAAATATGTTATCTAATGTAACACCCAAAGAGCAGCTGACACTCGGACGCTGCTTCACAAAAAGCGCAGTGTACTTAGATTGCACAGAGAATATTTTAAAAATGTGGAGTAATGAATAATGGATGATGTGCCTCCTTATTTTTCAAAATCGCCAACTAGAATATATTTGTTTGTTATTTTTACCTTACTTGAATCCAAAAAGGACTCGGGAAGTTTATAATAGAACAATATAGGTAGTCATTAAACTATTAAAACAAAATTAGAAAATAAAAGTAACAGAGAAACTAGAAAATTACACATCAAATCGAATAAATCGCTTTTTCTGAAGCTATAAGTTTGTTTGCAGCTCCTAGAATGAGAAAGTTTTTTAAAATATATTTTTATTGATTTTAGAGAGAGAGAAAGGGAGAGGGGGAGAGAGAAACATCAATCGGTTACCTCCAGCATACACCCTCCCTGGGGATCGAATCCACAACCTGGGTATATGCCCTGCCCAAGAATCAAACTGGGGACCTATTAGATGCATAGTATGATGTTCAACCAACTGAGCCACACAGGCCAGGGCAAAAATATTTCTTGAAGCCAGTTCACATCCTACCTTTTACTTTTTATTTTGTCTTTTTTTTTTTTATCCTCACCTGAGGACATTTTTGCATTTATCTTCAGATAGAGCAGGAGGGAGAGAGGAAGTGAGAGAGAGAGAGAAACATTGATGTGAGAGAGACACATTGAGTGGTTGCCATCCACGACCCCAACCAGGGCCAGGGACAAACTGCAATCGAGGTACGTGCCCTTAGCAGGAACAGAACCCGGGCCTCTCTGGTCCATGGGCCGATGCTCTAACCGCTGAGCCAAACTGGCCAGGGCTTACTTTTTATTTTGTATTGCATTTAATTAATTACTTAGCAAATGTGACACTATTTTTTAAAAAAAAAATTTAACTTTTCAATTACAGTTGATATTTTAATATTATATTAGTTTCAGGTGTGCAACATAATTAGCCATTGATTTAGACCAAATATTCTACTGAAGACCCACACGTTGCACATAAATGTTTACCAAACCCTGGAAGTCCCAAAACAGTATACACGCTTAGTAAATGGTTAGTCTTTTAACTTGTCCAGACATCTAACATCTCTTTCCTCATGTGGATTTTAATAACTTTTAGATCATGCTTTTACCATTACACATACCATGTTGTATAACTATTTATAGCTTAACTCGTCTGTTTCTTAGAGATCACAGTCCAGGGGAGGAGTGAAGACCAAGTCCTACACGTACTGGTACCTTAAATACCTTCCACAGAACCTCATTCACTTGAGATCTGAGAATGTGGCCTGTAGCGTCCCATTCCACCCAAATCTTGCCATTACTCTAGTAATTCATCTAATTTTCTTGTCTTTCAGTTTCTTGACCTCATCTCTGATGATCTTCTATGTCATTACAACATATCTGCCCACTCCCATGGTCACACCCTGGACTTCGTAACCACTCTGAACTGTTTCCTTTTGCAAATAATTAATTCATACACCCTAAACACTCACCACATTTTCCATTCTTCCAAATAATCTCATTTGATCTCCACTACATCAGTTCTTTGAAGTGCTCTAATTCATTAAGCAGCCTATTTATTTTCCAATGGATTACCTCCACTGTCTTCCCCTTTTTCTTTATCCAACTTAGATTACATGGTATATCATTTCAACATCTTTATTGCTAACACAGGAAGCCATTATCTTCCTGGAACTTTGAGGTCAGATGTCCTTGAGAATTCAAAATTTTTCTGGTTTTAAGACCAGTTACACAATACATAATTAATATATGATGTAACATACCCATCAAAATTTGGGACAGCACTCCATAATCATACACATTAATTTCTAAAGCAAAATATATGAACATATACACTAAAATTGATAAAGGTTATAAACAGCCCCACATTCATTCTTTAAGAGAAAGTTTGCCATTGAGTTATACAAAGATTTTCAGTTTTCAACCCTTTTGAATTTTGTCATTTCAGATAAGGAAGCAGAGACCTTTATCTTTTAATCTACTTGCCCCACTGCGGTTACATAACAATTTCTTAGAATAACATCAGTCTTGGGTGAATGCAATTGGTTGCTACTTCCACACCCACCAAGGCTTCTGAGAAGGGTTAGAGAAAATTATAATTTCTGGCAGATTGATTCTGGTAGAAACGCATGATGTCTAACCTCAACTGTAACTGCCAAGAGAAATCTGATTTTCTCCCTAATTATTACTTTATATCTTCTCTACAGTGACTATTTTACACTTTCTCTTTGAGCCCTACTGTTCTCTTTGAGCCCTGTCTTCCCTCACTCCATCAGCAGTTGCCAAAAGAGAAAACTAGAAATCATCAGATTAGAACTCCACCTTTCTCCCACTGAAAAGACAAAATGATCTATTCAAGAATCCATCCTTTCTTCCTTTTTCTGTTACAACAAAAAAAGATGCACCCTGCCATCCACATGTTCTGAATCCCATTCATTCCTATGGTTTCAAGAAACTTGCTCCATAAACTGCTTCCTTTCTCCTCCTTATATCTTTAGTTCCCTCCAATTCTTCTTTCTACTCTCCTGAATCTTTCCTCTCCACATTCAAGTTTAGTAACTGCCATCTTGGAAAAAAAAAAAAAGAAGAAAGAAAGTCCCATGTGATCTCAGGTTCACTTTCCAAGTATCTGCTCAAGCTGTCTACTATTTCATCCTCATGACCACCAGCGTTATTAATACACTGGCTTCCTAAGAGCTCTTCCACCCAACACCAATCTCCTCTTTGGTGACCTTTCTAAAAGACAAAGTTGACCAAGCTGTCCTCATATTGGAAATGCTTCAGTGGCTTACTACAATGCACTTAAGATAAAAATCTAAACTCTTCCACCACCCTATAGGCCTCCCCTGCCTCTCCAGACTCAACTCAAGCTATTAATTCGAACTCTCCAGTTCAGCTATATTTAATGTGCGGGGCTCTCCTAGACATCTGGTTCTCGGCCTCAGTAAGCACAATGGTTTTCTGCATCAGAATCACTCAAAGAATTTGTAAAACACAGTTTTCTGGCCACATCCTGAGAATTTCTGATTTATTCGATCTGAAGTGGGGTCCCAGGTGATGCTGATGGTGCTGGTCCAGGGACTGCACTTTGTATACTACTTGCCTAGAACAATCTTCCTCTAACTTCATCTTTTCCTCCTTCTATATGCATAAGTTGGAATGTTATTCTTTCGAGTCATTCTTCATAGACCTTCCCACATCTGGGCAAGGTGTTTTCTATCACAGTTCCCTGCATTCCTCCTATAAGAACACTTACCACACTGTATAATAATAGCTTAATTATCTATTGACATCTCTCCACATTAGGCTATACACCCTATGAGAGTGAAGAGTCTAGCTTTCTTCTTTATTGTTGCATAGCATCCAACTATTAGACACTTTAGATGCTAAATATATATTGATTACATTAATAAATTAAAGATAATTCCAAAAATGTTTATACTTTATAAGTTTTCTCTCTCCAAAGGATATACAAAAAAAAAAAGTATACATATAAATACAAAGTTCTGTTCTTTCCTTTAGCCCCTATAACCATTTACTTTCTCAGGGCAAAGACTTTTTTAATTTTTTTTTTTTTTGCATTTATTTTCAGATAGAGCGGGAGGGAGAGAGGGAGAGAGAGAGAGAGAAACATCGACATGAGAGAGACACATCAAGTGGCTGCCACCCATACGACCCAACCAAGGCGGGGAACAAACTGCAACCAGGGTCCGTGCCCTTAGCAGGAACCGAACCTGGGCCTCTCTGGTCCGTGGGACGATGCTCTAACTGCTGAGCCAAACCGGCCAGGGCAGGGCAAAGACTTTTTTAAATCAAACATGAAGCACGTAGTATTTCACAGCACTCCAACTTTTGAACACCAATTGCCAACAAAGTCAAGCAATGATATTTGTAGCTTCTTTGCTCTTCCCACATTTTAAAAAAATAACAACTATACAGTTAAGGATAACAAACCAAAGTATAAATTTTCTTTTTAGGTGACAATATACTAAAATGAATAAAACTGACAGATTTTCTCTACTGGCATCCCATACATTTACTCGGCAAATGGCATGTAACCCTGTCTTATGCCATTTCTCAGCTCTCAAACATTAAGCAGTGACACCATAAAAATCATACCATATCGAATGACACAATGTACATAATTTGTTGAACCTCTGTTTTATCATCTGTGAAATGAGGAAATTGGACCAAATGATACAT